TGCTCGGCCCAAACCCTAATGGCGTTCGCTCCCAGGGAACGGGCTGCGCCTGCCAGGGCCTACAGTAGCTGCGCCAACCAGGAGCACCAGGGCGAGCGCGAGGACGGGGCAATGACTCGTCGTGGGCCCGCCGTCAGCGCCCGCCGCCTGCCGCCGCCCAGCCTGGACAGCAGCTCCAACGCCTAGCACGGGCGCCATGTCCAGCCATCAGCATCACACGCGCAAGCAGCACCAACGCCACCAGCACTACCACCAGAACGAGCACGACGGGAACAAGCAGCACTAGGCGATTCGCGCTGGACTGCGCGAGCGCCCCCATCCCCCCGCTGGCGAAGCTGGCGAGGGGGAAACGCGATCGCCCTGGCGCGAAGCGTTACGGCCCAAATCGTTCGATTCTGCGCTGGGCAACGAGGGCTCCCCAGGGCACAGCCCACAGCCTGTCCCGCAGGAGCCGGCTGCTCGCCCCTCGCACCGCAGTCCACGCGGCCTGGCGGAGATGCCACGACGGCCCGCGACGCGACGGCCCGCGACGAAGCGAACAGATCCACTGTGACCAGCCCGACAGAAAGCAGCATCGCCAACAGCAGCAGCAGCAGCAGCACAAGCGCCACCAGTAGCACAACTGTGAGTAGCAATACAAACGCAGCAGCAACAGCCCCACCTGCAGTGCCACTCCACCAAGGCCCGTCGGAAGCAGCAACACCACGCGCAGCATCAACGCCGCCGACACCAGGATCGCAAGCAACACCAGCGTCACCAGCAACGGAACCACCTGCAGCACCACTGCGACGAGCATCGCGAGAAGAAGCAGCACGACGCGCAGAAACTCCAGAAACCAGCAACACCACCATGAACCCGCACAGTCGGAACCAATAGTACGACGCGCACCGGCTCTAGCGCAACCAGAAGAATGACCGCGACTAGCGCTACAGCAGCATCGGTGCTGACACCAGCAGCGCCGAGAGCAGCAGTGGCAAAAGCGACGCCAGTAAAAGCTCAATGGACCGCGTGGCAGCAAGCAACACAACCACGAACGCTAGCACGAGCGACCCGAGCAGCTCCAGCATGACGGGCGCGACAAGGAGCAGCAACAACACACGAAGCAACATCAACGCCGCCAATTCCGCTCGAGTCGGGCTTTTCTGTTAGAGTCGTCGTCTCCGCCCTCCTCTGGTCCATTTGCCAGGGCCCTCTTCCTCATACGCGCCGCCCAAAGCAATATTGAACAACATCGGAATGGACTCGCCAGGGAAACCCCTTCCCTTTGATCCCTTCCCCGCGCAAGGGGAGGGTCCTGGGGTGGTCCCGGGGGAGCCCTGGGGGGCCCTCGGGGGTGCTGGGGTGGTCCCGGAGGGAGTCGCCACCCAAATAAGTTTCCAGGACCCTCACACCCCGGCCCGCTCCAGCCCCAGTCCCGGCCCCCGCTCCAGCTGCAGGCAAGCGCACGCGCGGGGGCGGGGGGGGGGCGAGAGAAGGCACTGCGCCCCGGCAACTCTCGGGGAGTCGTCGCGAGAGGTCGCGGGCGGAGGGGCGTCGGAGTCGGCGCGGTGAGTGTCGCCAGCGGTGCGCAGTAAACGGCTGCTGGGGGTCAGGGAGGGCGGTTGGCGGGGGCGCCCGCGGGGTCGCTGGCGCGGGCGGCTGCCCTGGGGCGGCGGACCTGCAGCTCACGCGGCGTCCACTGTGGAGGCTGCTGTGGCCACCGCCAGGCGCGCGACGACGGCCCTGCTCGCGGCGGAAGGTGACGCAGCACTGCCAGCGCATTCCCCCTGCGAAGGGAGATGGAGAGTCGCCGGGCAAGCTTGTCGGCCGCGAGCGCGGCGTCGTCCCTGGTGGCGTCGGCGTGGCCACCGACGGCCTCTTCGGAACCTTCGTGGGTTTCCGTCTGCCAATCTGGCTGGGGGCGGCGGTCCGGGGCGTCCCGAGGTCCATGTTCCTCGCGACCCCCGGACAGTGGGGACACTGGGTTCCTGAGCGCGGGGGGGCAGGAGGCGAATCAACAGGGGCCGCGGGTATGGCGGCTAAGTCGGGAGGACAGGGTTCCCCCCTGCTGGCATGGCCAGGTTCGGACCCGGAACGTCACCATCTTGAGCGCCTGGGATGGGGAAGGGAATGAAGGCCCGAGAGCCCCGACCGCCTCAGCACGTGCGCGCTAGGCTCACCGAATGAAGGTTTCCTTCACAGGTCCCAAAGGTCAGGGCGTAGGGTCCTGTGAAAGGGGGGCGCCCCCTGGTACCCAGGCAAGGAGTTCGCTCGCAATCATCAGGGAGGTTGTCTGTCTCCCGTCCTAGGTGGCCTCCTTGGGCTCCTCGCGCAGCAGCAGCGTGGCCGAGGTCGGCTGAGCCGCACGGAGGGGGAGCAACGAATAAGTGCACGATTGGGAGTACTGGGAGCCCTCCGTACAGCCGCGGGCGTTCCCCCGAAGGGAGCCGCACTGGCGCACGGAGGGCAAGCTGCGGACTGAGCGGGGGCAGTAGGAGAACGTCCTCGTGGCACCTCCTACTCGAGCGACACTGGGGGGAGAAGTGCTGATAGGGGGACGCCGAAGAGGCGTACGATCGGAAAGACACACAGCCCCCCTACAGCTGGACCTGCGCTCCCTGAAGGAGGCGTCCGAGCGCACAGGGGGCCTGCTGAGTCCTGAAGGGGCAATCCAAAATTTGTGTCCTCTGGGTCGCAACAGGGGGGCCGCGGCCAGGCGAACCGGCGCTACCAGGGTTAACGCTGGGACTCCGGGAAACGTTTTCCCGAGGAGAACCTGGCGAGGGCTGGCAGAGGGCCACGTAAGGCCAGGAGTTGGGGACAGCGTCCCTGGAACGGTCCGTGAGAATCTCTGGGGTCACCGGCACTCCTGCGGGCGAGGGGCCTGTGCAGACCGCCAACTCCTGAGAGTTTCTCCCCATGTGTCCTGCCGGTTCTTCTGGTACTCCATCCTCGTGACCGTCCATGGTCCGGTGCGGGGCGCTGACACCATCGCCCAGGCCTGAGGCAGCATCTGCAGGCGCAATAGGGGTCTGTTCCGCGAGTTCGGTCTGGGGGTCTGCCGGCCCGCCAGGCTCTCCAGCTGCTGCTGTTTGGGTTGCCGTTGCGCTCTCAGACTGGTTGGAGGGGCTGATCCCCCTGGAGGGCTGCTCCACCTGGGGGGCCTGGGCTGGGTGCCCCAGCGCTGGTGCCGTTCCTCGGAGGTGCCGGGAAAAGGCTCCAACTGGGGGGCTCAGGCCGGGTGCCTTAGCACTGGCACCATTCCTTGCAGTGGGCGGCGTCTCCATCATTGGGGAGTCGGCGCTGCTGCGGGGGGTACGCCCTGCTCCATCTTGGGCATCGTGATCGGCGGTGCCAGGGGGATCGCTGGGGGAGCCGCCACTCTCCTCCAAGCCATGCTCCGTAGAAGCGAGACCAAGCTGGGGCGCCTCCAACGGGATCGGGACGCTGGGCCCAGAAGGCTGAACGTGAGCCCCATCAACCAGGGCCGAGGGGGCAATGATGATGTCGGATGAAAGTTGGCTTGTCCCGCTCCCCCCCGTGAGAATGGTAGCTCCCAAGCTGGTACTCGGGGGGGAAATGGGGGAACGCAGACGCGAAATTCCGGCACACCCGTGTGCACCCCGTAAGCCTGGTGGGGGGTCCCGTCCAGGGAGCCCCCTGTTGGGCGTGGCTTAATGGGGGGGTCATAAATGGGGGGGTCAGAAACGGTCCCCTTTCGTGCCCCTTTCGGGCCCCTCCGGACCCCCAGGGGGCTCGTTTAGGTACCGTTTGGGTACCTTTTCGGACCACCCTCGCCCCCCCCCCCATTTATGACCCCCCCATTACGCAACGCCCAACCCTGCAGGGCTCACGGTTTGGCCGGGCACGGGGGGAGCGGCGGGGGCCGCGGGGACCGGGCGGCGGCGGCGCGGGGACGGGGCCCCCTGGCGTCGGGCGCCCCCTCGAGCGCGGGAGTCCCCGAGGGGGGCCCGCTCGGCTCGTGGCTTGAGCCAGAGGGGCTACGGACACACACACACACACACACACTTTGGTCGTCGCGGGCGGGAGCACCTCTCCGCCGTCAAGCGCCCGCGCAGCAAGCCGCGCGCACGCCCAGTAGCCTGGAGGAAAAAGACCGGAAAAAGGGAGGAAGGGCCGACACACACACACACACAGACACAGACACAGACACAGACACAGACACACACACACACACACACACACACACACACACGCACACACACACACACGCACACACACTTTTTGCGTCGGCGGCTGGGCAGAGTGACTGCGCTGGCGGAAAGAGCATGTGTAGGACATACAGATGCGACACACACACACACACACTTAGACACACACACACACACTTTTACCTCCGCCGGCGGTATGTCACCACAATCGCGATTGAGCAAGGACCGGCCACGTCACTGTTGATTGCACCCAACTTTGTCCTACACACGCACCAACACACACGCACACCCACACACCCGCACACACACACACACACAAACAAACAAACAAACAAACAAACACACACACACACAGTCATCCCCCCCCTGCCTCCAGTTCCTCCCCCTTCTCCCCGCCTGACCAGGTGCCTCCCTCCAGTTATTCCCCTACCTCACCCTCCTCCCTCGCAAAACCGTTCAGCAAACACACTCAAGGAAGAAATCCGACAGGACAGGGCTGTTTCGTAAACGCCAGGGTCCGTCTTCAGCCAACCCTTACGAGAAAGACGCACGATCCGGATGCCAGGGCCTTGGAAGGCCATGCCGACACGTGGCGGGCGGGGCGCGGCCAGTGAAAGCGGCCAAGGATGGGCCGAAAGGAGAAGGATCCAGAAGGGCAAGCTGGGAGAGCAGCTCATCACTACTGTCGGGTCGGGCGAAAGGGGGGGATAGCACCCCTTTCCCCCCCTTTCCCAATCCCCCCCTTCCCCAATCCCCCCCTTTCGACTTTCGCCCGGCCCGATACTGTGCGGGTCGACTGCAGGGAGGTCGGGCAGCGAGGCCAAGGGGCGGCGGGCAGCGGGGGCGCACCGCGCGCCCGAGCAGGTCTGCGTCGGGCTCCTGGCCGCGCCACGGCGCCGCGGCGGCCCCCTCTGCAGTGCCGCCGCCATCGAGGGCCCCCGCCGTCGTCCTCCACCGCCGGCCTGCCCCGCTTCGCCCCCTCTTGCTCTTCCCCCCTCGAGACGGACAGTGTGTGATAGCTTTTCTCCCTGGGGGCCCACTACCGGGCCTCGGGACCGCCAAACAACGACTCGGGATGAAAAGCCGGTCCCAGGGAAGGGGTTCAGACCTCTGGGCGTCGACGTCACGACAGAATCACGACGTTGGGTCCGCTCAGGCGATAATAGGCGTGACCGTCGTCCTCCACCTCCGCTCCACTCCCGTCCTCCACCCCCGCCTCCGCTCCACTCCCGCCGTCGTCCTCCGCCTCCGTTCCACTCCCGCCGTCGTCCTCCACCTCCGCTCCACCCGCCGCCGTCCTACACTCCGCTCCACTCCGCCGTCGTCCTCAACCTCCGCTCCAATCCCAACCCACCTCCGCCCCACCCCGCCCCTCGAAACAATGTGTTATCGCCTGGCGATCACGGGTGTGACCAGGGGGAGAGGAGGGAGCCAGTCACGTCACGATTCGCGCCAGCGCCGTCTGGGAATGCCTGGAAACTGTTCCTTCCCAGACGGCACGGCGCCAGCGCGAATCGTGCCGTGAACGGGAGGAGAGGGAATGGCGGGACCGGTTACGGGCGTTATCGCGAATAATAAAATGATTCACTGCATACGCATTTATTTGCATGGACCATTCCGCCACGGGTGTGAGTATTGAATATTGACAGACTAGATGCGAATCGAACTGTGAGTGAGCTGAAATTTGAATGAGTCCCAGAAGTACGAGTGAGTCGTTGCGCATGAGTATGAGCATGTCTAAGCTTAGGATGACTGCATCTGCACGTCAGTGGCCTGAGCATGGCTGAGCGCGACTGAGTCGGAGTGGCTACGCAATGCCTCCCTTCATGATGAAGCAAAGAGTAGGGGAGCTCATGCAAACGCCGTGCGACACCATTGCGCTTCGTTGGCTGGCCCAGAAGTGCTCACGCAGTGGCTGGATCGTGATTCAGCCAGCCACGCCACGGACAGGATAGGCCGAATTGTTAGGAATAGACGTAAAAACCTAGGACTGGAGCCGCAGGAGACGGGCGAGCTATAGGAACACACGTAAAACACAGAGGAATCGTGCCCCAGGAGAGGCTCTATATATATATATATATATACATATACATATACATATACATATAGATATATATATATATATACTAGAACCATCGCGCGCGCTTCGCGCGCGCTCAAGTTCTAGCCAGGATCCTCACCATCGTCATCATCGCAATCATCACCATCGTAGTCATCGTCATGGTCGTGTTCACCATTACCATCACCAGCACAACCATCATCATCACCACCATCATCGTCAGCATCGTCAGCACCATCGTCATCATCGTCGTCGTCATCGTTGTCCTCACTATCATCGTCGTCGTCATCATCATCAGCATCATCATCGTCAGCATCAGCATCAGCATCATCATCATCATCATCATCTTCGTCGGCGCCGTCGTTGTGCTCGTCATCATCATCATCAGCGTCGTCGCCGTCATCATCATCGGTCTACTCCAGTCCCCTCCCCCTCCTCCTCATTTCCGTTCTATCTCTCCCCATCATCCTATCCTCTTGCTCCTCCTCCTCCTCTTTCCTCTCCTCGATGCCGTCTCCCTGAAGTGGATCCCTGTTCATTCACCTCCTCCTCCTCCTCCCTGTCCTCCCCGCTCTCTTCAATCTGTCCCTCCTTGTGTTCCTTCACCTCCTTCACCTCCTTCCTCCCCCCAGAACTCCACGAACGGTGCCAGGGACAGAAAAGCACGGCGTCCCTCCGCCTATCGCACACCTTTCACACGGCTCTGTTGGGAGAATTCGCCCAGCGTCTCCCCGCGTATTTCGACTCGCTCCGCACACAGCTTGTGCCCCGAAGGAAGCTGTTCCGAAGGAAGCTGTTCCGACGAGCCGTGTTGGGACTCTCTTGGGCCGTCTTCGAGGCCTCTTAAGCGGTCCCGGGGCGCTCTTGGGCCGTCTTGGGGCCGTCTTGGTGGCCTCTTGGGCCGTCTTGGGGCGATCTTGGGTGCCTCTTGGCCGTCTTGGAGCGCCAGGGAGCCCAAAAGGAGAGAAAGCCAAAAACATCGAAAAACACAATGGAAAATCAACGATTCGAGCCTCTTGGGGCCCTCTTGGAGAGCCTCTTGGAGGCCTCTTGGGGCGTCTTGGAGGCCCCTTGGGCCGTCTTGGGACCATCTTGGGCGTCTTGGAGCGATCTGGGACCGCCTCGGGGCCCTCTTGGACCATCCTGGGGGCCTCCTGGGGCCGTCTTGGAGGCCTCTTGGGTCGTCTGGAGGCTCCTTGGAGGCTCCTTGGAGGCCCCGGGGAGGGGGTATCAAAAAGCGTTCCCCGATGGTTGCGGGGTGGGCGGCCCCGCCGGGGGGGGGGGGCCTATTTGTTTATATTATATATATATATATATATATATATATATACATATCTATAGAGAGAGAGAAACATACGGAAACACACATTGGACTTGAGCCGTAGGAGAGGGGCAATCTATTGGAACATACATGAAACACCAAAAGTTTGTGCCCCAAGAGATACCAAATCGATAGCCACATACGTAAATCCGCCGACCCCTTGGGGTCACGGCGTGTGAGATGCTCCCACCTCCCCAAACCCCTCCCCCGGGGACCCGGTCCGGCCGGTTTGGAGGGGGGGAGTGCCATGCCCGAGGAGGTGGCTGCCCCACTGCCACGGGCAAGCGTTACCTGGGCCGCATTGCATACCGCCTGTGGCCGAAGGCGCTGACGCGGGCCGAGGCCGCCCGCGCGGCCACCGCTGCGGAGGCTGCTGCGGCCATACCCGCGGCGCTGGGCGCGGAGCCCGCGGGGCCGCCTGGCGCGTTGTCCAGCTCGAGGTCTGATGTGCCACTTCGGATCGGCCCGCAAGCAGAAGCGCGCAACCAAGTCACCCCTCCTACAGCGGCACCCCACGTCCGCCTATCGGGGGCCTGAGGGGAGCGCCCGCCGTGGCCGCGGGGCGTTTCGCCGACTGGCGTGACGCTTCGATTTCTCCGCTCCACTTCACGCCACTCCACTCCGCTCCGCTCCGCTCCACGTCATCCGTCTCCTCCGTCCTTTTTCCGGATAAGTAGCTCCTCCCTGCTGTTCCGCAAGACGTGTCGGCAGGGCGGGCCAGGCGTGTCGCCTCAGACTTTCTCACAACGTAAGGTCTGGAAGCTTGAAATGTGCAACACCTGCAATGATGGAGGGCGGGTCGTTTTCAACATGGAACTCTCGCCTTAGCGCGGCAAGCATTCGGTTTACACCAAAGCAGCAGCTTCGAGGATTCAGGACAGTTACTTTGCATAGTGTGGCTTTCGCATGAGCGCTTCACCCATTCGTATTAAAACCCTGCAACTAAAGGTTGAAAGGGCGTGGTTTTCAAATGTGGTTCTCGCCTGAGCACGGAAGCCATTCGTCTTAAAAAGTCCGCAGCTGCTTCAAGGATGAAGGGGGTAGTTTTCAAAATGTGACTATCGCCTTAGCGCCGCGCACAATCGTCTGAAAGTGCTGCAACAAATTCGGGTATGGCGGGGAGGTGCTCAAAGTATGGCTCTCGCCTTAGCTCCGCGCGCGCTCGCCTTGAATAATGTACAGCTTCAGAGATGGAAGCGGAGGTACTTTTATCAATAGAAATTCTCGCCGCGAGGCCACACACACTCCACATAACAAATGGCAACACGATCAAACATGGGCCGGGGGGGTCGGTTTCAAAAATTTGGCTCTCACCTTAGTGCCGCGCACGTTCGTCTTCATATGCCACCATGTCTTCACGGATGGAAGAAGTTATCATACAAAGTGGCGGTTTTACCGTAGCGCCACGGACATGTTTCGAATCTCGCAACACTGTCACATGATGAACACTGATCGTGTTCAAAATACGGTCCTCGTCTCAGTGCCGCGCGCATACGTGTTCATCGCAGCTGTGTCAAGATTGGGGACTGCTTGTTTCCCAGATGGGGCTCGCATGTAGCCCTGCACGAACCCAGGGCGGCTCCGTTTCAAAGTGGAGCTCTCGCTTGAGATTCCTCGAAGCCCATGACCACAAGTGTGTAAGCTTGAGCAACAATTACAAGGGTGGGGGGGGGCGGTACTTCTTCGCAAGGGGGGACGCATGGGAACGCGTTTGACACCTCGCTCATCTGTGTGATCAGATTGTGGTTCGTGTCCTCCTTACGCGCCACAAGATGCAAGACCGAAAGCGGGGCTCTCGCCAAAATGAAAGACCCGAACAGCGCTGGTCTTGCAAGGCAGGCGCTTGTAGTGGGGAAAACTTGCAGGGGCGTCTAAAGAAGGGACTTGGGACGGTGGGGTGTGCTGCAGCGTCCCTGATGGTCCTTTAGTTTACTCTGGGCATTATCGTCCTGAAGCTTGGAAATTGCAACAACTTCAAGGTTGCAGGGCGTGTCGTTTTCACAATGGAACGCTCGCCCTAGCGCCGCGCCCATTCGTCTTACACATTCGCAGCATCGTCAAGGATTGAGGGCGGGTCGTGTTCAAAATGATGCTCTCGCCGTAACGCCGCGCACAATCGCCCTGCAAGTTGCAACAGCTTCAAGGATGGAGGGGGGGGCGTTGTCAGAATGTAACTCTCCCGTGGCGCCGCACGCACTCGTCTCACAAATTTGCGACAATTGTGCAAAAAAGTGCTTGCAAATAGGGGGTTCTTTCATCTGGTCTACTGAACTGGGCATGAATGGCGGTCTGGCGCCTCCGTGCTCGCCGTCGCCGCCGCGACGCCGCCCATGTTCTGGGCCTGGGTGGCGATCTGGCGACTATGTGTTCGCCGTCGCCGCCCCTTCGCCGCCTCGTCGCCGCCCAAGACTGTATAACATAGATTGCACCACCGATATTGCACCGCATAGATTGCTACACATAGGTTGCGCCACCTAGATTGCACCACCTAGATTGGTCAACCTAGATGACTCCATCAAGATTGCACAACTTAGATTGCACAACATATGTTGTACAACATCGGTTGCAAGTGGATTGCACGACATAGATTGCCCCACATCGGTTGCAGAACATAGATGGTTGGAAACACACTGTGTAGGGGTCCACGCTGGCCAACATGTGAAGGATCGATGGCGGTTCCTTATAAAAATTATGGTCTCGCCTTACAACTGCGCACACTCGTGGTAAACCAAAACATCAGCTTCAAGAATTAAGGACGAGAATCAGACTCGCGCCTTAGCTCTGCGCGCGGTCGCCTGAGAAAATGCAACAGCTTCAAGAATGGACGGGGGGAACAACTTTCAAAGTGTGGTTCTCGCCGTAACGCTGCGCGCATTCGTCTCACACATGTGCAACAGCTTCAAGGATAGAGGATGCTTTTCAAAATTCGGCTCTCGCCTTAGTACCGCGCACATTATATTAAAACCTTACAACTGGTACAAGGCTAGTGGGCGGTTCCGTTTCAGAGCGAGGCTCCCGCTTGAGACTTCTCAGTTAGACAGCGAGAAGCTTGACTGTGCACGAGAGCTGCACAGATGAAGGGTGCTGCATTTTCAGAGTTGGGCACTCGCTTCTTAGAACGACTCATGAAACTTACAAACCAGAAACGTGAACAGGTGAGACAGGTGTATGGATGGATGGCGGCTCCTCTTCAAAATGGGGCTTTCGCTCGAGACTTCCTCAACGCACATGGCCATAAGTGAACACATGTGAAAATACACAGATGGGGCGTTTCTCAAAACGGTAATATCTGTGGACACCCCTTTGAACTGTATGATCATACCTTCGCGCTGCACTTTAAAACTCAAGCGAAGGATGCAAAACAGTTTGTTCCTTTCCCAAACGGGGGGCTCTCGCATGGATGGCAGTTTCTCAGGGTACTGGCCTTTCAAGGGGGCGCCTTCTTGAAGTGAACAGGAAGGCCTGTAGGGCCTTATGAGGGGATTTGCGGAGGGAAGAGGTATTGCAGCATCGCTGATGCATCTTGAGTTTACTCGGGTCCTCCTCCTTCTCCTCCTGCTCCCCCTCCTCCTCGCTCATCCTCCTCGCTCATCCTCCTCCTCCGCCTCCTCCTCCTCCTCCTCCTCATCCTCCTCATCCGCCTCCCCCTCCTCTTCGTCGTCATCATCATCATCATCATCATCATCATCATCATCACCACCACCACCACCACCATCATCATCATCATCATCATCATCATCATCATCATCATCATCATCATCATCATCATCATCGTCATCGTCATCGTCATCGTCATCATCATCATCATCATCATCATCATCATCATCATCATCATCATCATCATCATCATCATCATCATCATCACCATCATCATCATCATCATCATCCATCAACATTATCATCATCATCAGCATCATCATCATCAGCGTCATCATCAGCACATCATAATCATCATCATCATCATCATCATCATCATCATCATCATCACCCCCCATCAACATCATCATCATCATCATCATCATCATCATCATCATCATCATCATCATCATCATCATCATCATCATCATCATCATCATCATCATCATCATCATCATCATCATCATCATCATCATCATCATCATCATCATCATCATCATCATCATCATCATCATCATCATCAATCATCATCATCATCATCATCATCATCATCATCATCATCATCATCATCATCATCATCATCGTCATCAGCATCATCATCATCATCATCATCATCATCATCATCATCATCATCATCATCATCATCATCATCATCATCATCATCATCATCATCATCATCATCATCATCATCATCATCATCATCATCATCATCATCATCATCATCATCATCATCATCATCATCATCATCATCATCATCATCATCATCATCATCATCATCATCATCATCATCATCATCATCATCATCATCATCATCATCATCATCTCTCTTCCTCCCTTTCTTTGCTCAGAATTTGGCGAACGAAGCGCCGTAGCGTCTTCTTCCCCCGCCTCCTGCTCCTCATTCTCCCCCCCATTCCTCTGCCACAAGATGCCACACGAAGATCTCGCGGAGAGCGGCTGCCCCAGTCCTGGGCCATCAGCCGCGGAAGGGTGGACGGCCGGTCCATGTCTAGCCTTCACGGCCCGCAGGAGAGAGAATGGAGCAGTAGGCAGTAGGGGGAGGAGGGAGGAGGAGGACAATGAAGACGACGACGACAAAAACGACGACGACGACGACGATGACGGCGGCGGCGGCGGCGGCGACAACGACGACGACTACGACAACGATGACGACGCCGACGACTAACCAGCCTCGAATTTATCCCTACCTCACAGATCGGCAAGCCCAAGGCGATGACAATCTTAGAGTTGTGCCCTCAGAAACTGAGGAAATCCCTAAAATCTGCACCAAGGTAGGGTGATGCCAAGCATAAGCATCTGGATATGTTTCAAGCTGGTAAGACGACGGCGGCGGCGGCGGCGACGACGACGACGCCGACGCCGACGCCGACGACGAGCCAGGACCCCTGAGCAGGGAAGGCACAGGGCAAGGACGAGGACGAGGACGAGGAGCAGCGGCTGGTCAGCCTCACGGCTCGAAGGAGCAAACCACGGGCAACAGGAACAGGCCACCGCCAGGGTACGGTCGCGTCGGACGGCCCACGGCCGAGTGGAGAGGAGGGAGAAAATATCGGGGACGGCCCAGAGGGGGGCGTCCAAGAGGGGGGGGTGCAAATCATGGCCGGCGGCATGTGCTCGGCCCATAGGGGGGCCAGGGACGTAATGAAACAAGAAGAGGCGCCATGACATCTGGGGAAATATCATGGCCCACGCCATGATATCCACCCCCCCTAAGTCATCACCCCACTCGTTGCCGCCCCCGAAAATAGAGGAGGGATGACCCCTGCGAGATCTCTGACGGGTGGCTTCCGATGCGAGCGATCGCCTGGGAAATCCAGCTTCGGCTCAAGCTCAGCGCCCTGGGCACAGACGCTGGGGCCGCAGCAGTCGAGGCGCAGACAACAACCTGGCAGTGGATCCAAGAATGCAGAACGCTCCAGGTACTCCTCCTCCTCCTCCTCCTCCTCCTTCTCCTCCTCTGCTGTGGTGGCACAGGCCCGTGCATGAAAATCAATCGCATGCGTCCACCAAGCTAGCGGGAGATCAGCCAGAGCGATAGGACCACCGACTTGGGGCCCCCGTCGAGCTCTGGTCGTTGTCGTGGGTACCTGCTCTCCTTGGGGCTCGTAAGCGTCCCGCTCCCCTCCTGAGGGGTACCATTGGGGCGGAACTGGATCAGAGGGCAAACATCGAGCTGGAATCGGCGATATATCGCCAATACATCGGCGATGGGCCGCGATGGCGAATCCGCACGCTTCTTGCCAGGGTGTGCCCCTGGGCGTGGGGCCCCCGGGGGGAGGCGGTGGGCGGACAAATCCTGCCCCCCCCCGCCGGAATTCGGACCAGCTCCACAGAAAGGCGGTGGCGGCGCCACTGAACTAGAGCAGGTCCAGCTCTGGGCAGAACGGTACGAAGGCCACGAAGGCCAGAAAGCCCGTGGATGGCACGTGCCCACCCAGCTCCGAGAAACCCTAGCCGATGCCGCTCGCGCCACCCACTGGCGCGCACCGCCAAGGAAAGCACACGGCGACACTGTCGCAAATGTATTGCGATGGAACGAGCTAGGCCCGGCTACGATGAGCGAGTTCACAACGGCAAAGCGGTCGGACAGACGGGCACGGGCACCTGCTTTTCACTTCCGCAGCTGTGGCGCCGCAAAGTCGAGCACGGGTGCGCCGGCAGACTGGGGAAAGGCAATCCAACGACTGCCCCGACGCCGCCACGTCTGCCAAACGGGAGAGAAGCAGCAGCAGCAGCGCTACTACGTGACACCTCGACAATGTCATGTGGGTAACGGAAGATGATGTTGAAGGTTGAAGAGAGGCAACGAAAAACGTCGTCGTTGCGCAATGCCGCAGGCTGGTGATTACGAAGGTTAAAGACAGAACGCCGTGCAACGCCAACAACTGCCTATATGGTCTTTATTATCGCACCACGGCGTCTATCCACATTCGCTCTCTTCCAAAAACTCCCACAGCAAACCTATACACAGCAAACGTATGCACCACCATACCGCTGCGCATTGCATCGTGAAAAGACAATTTCAATACCAAGCATGCGAAAATCGCTGCCAAACATTAACAAGTCCTTAGCAAGAAGACGAAGCCAGCTGCAATAATAAGCGAGGCTGGGTCGGAAACACCACCTATCTGGGTTTCTCCTGCTGGATCGGAGAGAGATTCTGCCACGCCCATGATGAATTCAGAACCTAAGCGAAATGGCAACAAAGATTGGATGGACGCCGCCTGGCGTACCAAGTCACGACCCCTGGGCCCCACTTGCGCATGTTCGGAAAGTGTCGAAAGAGCAGATGGCAACGAGGAAAGACTGACATAGCACGAGAAACTGACTGGATGAAAAACTTGTCGATTCACTCTTACGTGCAGCCAAATGACCAGAACCCCCTTCCCCAGCGCATCCCCTCACCAACGCATTCCCTCTGGGAGCCTGAGGACGATCACCACCAGGCCGAGGACCAGCAGAAGGAAGCCCTCCAGAAAGCGCAGCGCCGGTCGCTCGGACAGGGCACATTGAGGGGAGGGTCGCGGATGAAAGGGGGCAACGGGACGTGTATACGGCAACTCCGTGTCGAGACGACTTGCGCGCTGATTGCTGACACTGGAGGATCGTTCAAGGTTGAACGTTCGCGGCTTTCAAGTAGCGCAGATCGTTCAACATCGGCCGATGCGGGGCCATTGGCAGCGCTCAAGCTTGAACGCCCGCGCTGGGGTTGCAGCCGCATTAACGCTTAGGTGGCATCAATCAAAGAGCCGTTGCTTGTATCATTCGCGGTAAAACCCATGGCCAACCCCGCCTCCCACACGTGGTCACGTCACGATTCGTGCCGGCGCCGTGTGGGGATGCCTCGGAATCACCACCAAAAGACAGCTCCGATAGCAGATTCCTGTACGGACCTGAAACAGCAGAACGTGCACCATGCTATGGGTACGCAAGGACCTGCGACAGTTACCTTACCCGTAGATAAATTCAGCGCAACGTACACCCATTCCTGAGAAAAAAGACACGGTGTTGCTCCATACCCTCCCCTCCCTCCTCCTCCTCTACCTCCTCCTCCTTTTCCCCCTCCCCTTCCTCGGGGCATTGGGGAATGGCCGGTCTCGTAGGCGTATGTTTATGATGATCATGATGTCGATGTAGTTAGTCCAATAGTGGTCCCAGGTCCAAATTCGGGAAAATTGACCGCCTTGTCGCCATGGCAAATACAGTGTTCAGTGAGCGAATCTACTGTATTAGGTGGGCTTTAGCTGACCGGCCGACGGAAGGAGAGACCGGGCGCGCGCGCGGACCCTTACCTGGCAGAAGAAACTGCTGCAAAAGATCCGATCGTTTTTATGCATAAAAACAGGCACAACCCCACCTTGGAGGAAATAGGCTGCGCAGCAAAGAGGGGCGAGGGAAACGTTGATTGAGAATGACTCCCCCCGCGGCCGTCGACGCTCAGATATCCTGTGCGCCGATGGACGTTGGCGCATAGGCCAACGCTCCTCGTCTTGGGCAGGCTGCCCAGGTCGCAAAGACCTGTAGTGCCGCGGAACGCGTGGGCCCATTTCGGCGCGTCTCAGGGTTGCCAGCCTTGCTTCAAACCCAAAGCACATTGGCCCCCGCGGTGCCAACCGCTAAACGAAACGTTCTATGGCGCGCGTGGCAGGGGTGGAACCTACTCCCGGCAGAGCCCTTAAGACGAACCAAAGCAGGCCAACTGATCCCACTGTTACCACCCGCCCTCGCGACGCGCCAATATGCACGTCGCTGCCCTTCCTCGCTTCCAGGACGCCCATCACATACTGACGAGTCGCCCACCCTGAGCGCCAGAAGTCTCGCCGGCGATCGCCCCAGCCCGAGCGGCTGCCCCGGCCCCGCCAAGTGGACCAGCTGCCAGCGCCGCGCCACGAGCTGCCCCACGACGGCCACGGCGCATCTTCCCTCAGGCCCCGACGGGGCCCCTCATCAGTGCTTGTCTCCCTCGCGCCCTGCGTCGGATTGCGCCGAGACTGCGGGCCGGCGGCGCGGGCCGCCGCTGGCATTGCCCGGCCGCAGGCACGCAGACCCCGCAGCGTCGGCGGGCGGTCTCGCCGTCGCACCAGCGGAGGGCGATCGGGGGCCCACGGCTGCCGCGCCACTTCAGCCGCGGGCCCCGTTCCCCGCCGCATGCCCGCGGCGGCGGGGGAGGCCTCGAGCCCGGACTCCACGGAGCTGCCCTTTGCTGCCGAAAACAATCGCGCAGGACGCGGGCGCGCCGCGGGCCGACTCGACCCAGGGCGCTCGCCGCCCACGCGACCGCGCTGCCAGTCGGGCCCCGCGCCAGAGCCCGGAACATAATTCCCGAGCAATGGCGGCACCCTCGAACTGCGCCTCGGACCCAACGGGCCCGGCTGGGGCGCATCTGACTTGGGCCACACGCCCAGCCTGATCATCGCAGCGCCCGCGATGAACTCTGGGAAGCGCCGCATCGCCATGCGCCGAGGGGCAGAGGGATCAGGCGCCAGGAAGTACGCCGCGGCGCCTGCGAGATGCCCTCTTCTCGCCGCTGCAAACGTTGGAAACATTCCTCGACATCTGGGATGTTTGCCTTCACTGACCCTCTCACATCATCGGCCATGTCCACGACAAGCACGAATCATGGCGACGGTGCTCATGTGCGCAAGCACGATCTTCAGCTGGTCCTTTACGTCGATCGCGTTCTGGAGCCACCCGGAGCCGCCGTCGCCCAGGCCCCCCGCGGCGCGCGACCACGCGTAGTTCTTCGCCTTTTGGATCCCCACGCGATATGACTGCAGAGTCCGCCGCGAGCCACGTAGCCCACGCGTGGGACCATAATATGCGAGCGCCGGAAGCTCCGCCCACAACTGCTTCGCCATGTTGAACACCTCCAGCGAAGTCTGCTTGGAGCCAAAGTCTGGCACGTGGCGCGCGTCGATGAACTTCGTCGCAGCCTGACTCATGGCGCGATCCCGGCGGGCGAAGTCAACGCCCCCCCTGGCCGCCCTCACGCGGTCAGCGCGGTCAGCGCGGCGCGATCGGCCATGAAGACGCGATCGCGGGCCGAGCAAACGGACCCGAGCACTTCGGGCACTGCCGACATAGTCGGCAGGTGCCCTGTGGGCGGCGGTCTGAGCCCCCCCCGCCCGCCCGCCTCTCCGCGGCCCCCGCGGCGCTCGACGTCCCACGCGAACGCCTCAAAAACTCCCGAGTCGCGCTGACCGCCGTCAATCTTGATTCTTCGACCTGAACAAAACCACCACGCTTCCTGCGGCGCGACAGGACCTTCTGCTCGCCTAGGACGGTCTGGCACTTGATCCACCGCGGCGCAAACTTCCCGGCCGGCAAGAGCGAGGTCGGGTCGCGCCGCAGCGGGCGCAGGTCGTCGGCGGACTTAGGGAGCCAGGCGACGTGGGTCATGGAGTTCGTTCTAAATGCCGCCATGCCCTCCACCGCCAGATTCTGCCTGCTGGCTGCACCTTCTTCGTTGCCCTGTTGCCACTTCTCAACCGTCTCATCGACGTTGGCTCCCGACCCCCGCCCGACTCGGCTCCGTCCTGGCGCCTTCCGCCCAGGGCCAACAACATAGTGACCGAACACCGCGACTGAATATTCTTCAATCCAAGATCCTGCCAACCTTGAAGCGGCGCGAATCCAGACGGCGGGGCCGCCTCGGCACCATAGGAGACATCGAGACCACATAAGAAGCAATGGACGATGCCAACTCTTGCTGCGGCACCGAGCACTGCGAACCAAACGCCGTCGCCATTCCATGATGGAGGAAGAATCAGCCTGTTCTTGGGAACGAGGGCGACGCCGCAGAGCCAGCGGTCGCACATCAGCACCAACGGCGTTCCACATCCATATCCACCGACAAGCAGCTTGAATGCCTGATGGGACCCGGACCAAAAGAAACGAGCATGGGTGATCAACGCCCCGTCGGGCATGACCCAGAACTCGCGCCCCTATAGCATGCGGGCCGCCCAAGAGAAAACGCGATTTGTCCGTTGAGCTTCTTCGGGTCTTCCAAGTCGAAAATATTCGGGCCCAGGCCGTCGCCAGTGAAATTCCTGAATTTGCCTGGGCGCAACCAGTGCGGCAGGTCGCCGTGGTCTTCAGGGCACTCGCCAACAATGTTCCGCCCGACGAGCCCAACGCTACCGCTGACGCTCTGGTCAACCTGAGAAGCCCCGTCCACATAGTCGCCCGTGACCTCGTAGCTGGCGCGCCTCGTGGGGGGGAAATAGAAATAGCGATACCGCGGTGCACCCTCAAGATCCTGCTCTGGTACCACGTACGTGCCGTTCATGGACTGGATTAAAGCGGCGTCGCCAAGCGGCGCAATGGAAGACGCATACATATCTCGGCAGCTGGGCTCGCGACGCACGGACTGCCTCTTGTGCTGCAGCACCGCTGGGATGGAATCGGCCCTGCACGACCGAACGTACAGGGGCTTCATTGCTGGTGTATCATCCCCTCCGCCGTTGGCAACATAAATGCCCTCTGGTTGCTCACGGCCAAAGCTGTCCTACCACACCTCTGGTTTGGACGTGGATCGTCTTCGCCGACCGTGACCCGCACGTCCGAGATCTGAACTGTGTTCTTCAGCAGAGTGCGCGGCGCGAATGAAGCGAGCGGCACGGTCGAAACCCGCAACGTACATTTGAGTAACCAGCGCCCTGATTTCCACCCAGCCCCCTGAGCTGACGACGTGGAAAAAGCTGTGCATCAGCTCAGGACGAGGCTCGCCAACCATACCGCCTCTTCCGCCGACACACCGCTGAACCGAGCAAACTCGTTACGGTCCAGCTCGGGGAAAATGAGCGCGAGGCGGTGCGCATCCCCGAGCGGGCCACTCGGTTCGACGGTGCTGCACCTCGCCAGGAGGCGACGATCGGCTGCCCCGCGCCCGTTGATCTTCAAGCGGCGAAGGTACTCGAAGAGGGCGTCGCCCACGATGTCCCCGCTGTAGCTCGACAGACCCGCGCTGGTCCGCTCATTGAGCGTCCTGGCCGAATATGCTGCACGGCCTGCATCATGCGCAGGATCAGTCACGGGTGACTTTGGTGTCCAAGCGGCGCAAGCAATCAGCCAGGCCCCCCTCGTCCGAGGACAGTTGGCCGATCACGCGTGCCTCGGAATGCTCGAGCCGTTCGTCAGCGAGATCGCCCTGATCCCCCACCTTGATCACCGCCTGCAAGAGCTGCGTTCCTCTGGGGAGGGGCATCCCCAGCTTGCAATGCGACTGGGGGCTGTCGTAGGGGATTATGTCGGAAATAGTCTCGAGCTGGATCGACCAAGGCTGGGGGAGAGTAGATGACCTCCTCGTCAGCGCCCTCGTCCTTCACATCTTCCCCCTCCTCCTTGGCCGCCAGACATCTTCAGCATCTTCCAAGACAGCCAAAAAGAGGCCTCCAAGATAGCTTCAAGGTAGCCCGTGAGGCCATCTTTAGGCCCCGAGTCGGCCCAAGACGAGCCCAAGATCGCCCAA